ACCCACCAGTTGGATGATGTTGGTCACACTTTGCCAGTTTGCCAGCTTGATGTTGTCTCCCCCATCCACCATGCCCTGGTATCCCTGAAAAGTAATTTTCCAAATGATATGTTAGTTTGAAAAATAACAATGCAGACTAGTCAAGCAGGAACACAGTCCTAAGACCGCAACTCAATGTTTAATAGGGTCCTATTGATAGAAAAAGGTTTGTTTACCTCATGTATAAGATAGACCTGGGCCCCCACATAGATGCCCATCCTGGTCACAGCTCGGACCGCAGCATTCATCCCTGGATCGAGGATAGTTGCATAGAAATATTAGACTTGCCTATGAGTTCCATTACACACAAGCTGTTACACAATTACCCTGCATGGGGAAATCAAACACTGTGCTCCATATGACTTCATTATCGGTTATTGGGCAACGGTGCCATCTGCTCTCTGGTGACAGGAACCAGAGTCCTTGACCAGCATTAATGTTACTCGAACAGACCGTGGCACTGTATGTGTTACCAGCACTGGAAGTACAGTATCAGACAGATACAACGTCAATGGGGTACAAAGTTTAGGAAGCAAACTAACTGAGTGAAATGACCCGGATGTATCCAAGTGGCCGCCATGATAAGAGCTGTTTGAATTATCTAAATGCTAAGGAAAGGTGCTTCAATGCTTCCTTTATTCGCTCCTTCAGCTGAGGATACACTGGACCTTTTTTTTTTTTTTTTCACCAAAGGAAAGAAGATAAGGCCGCCCCACAATTCCTTGCGGCGGCCTCATTTCAAGTGACACACCAATCGGCCGTCCATGAAAACATAATGATAAGCCTATCTTTCACAGGGTTTAAATGGTTGAGTGTGAGAGACTGTAAGGGCTTGATTACAGAATACATTGAATACATTGAAAGGTGTAAATAATACACAATATATCATTTGAACGTCTTCCAGGCTCTTTCCTCACAAGATGAGAGGTAATTTAAAAATAATCTATTTAGTCGTTTTTATCAAAACAGCTTCAATGACTAAATAAAATATTTGATGAATAAATCTGTGTAATATAATATCTTTCATTCTTCTGATGTTCATGTGTTGTTATGTTCCATCTTTAATCCTTAATGTTTTTGAAATAAATACGTTTACCTTTTTGGTAAACAAAGAGACGTGTTTACCGTCCCATCGCTATGCATTGTGGGTAATGTCCTGGGGTAAAGTCTGCAGAAATGCGGATTTACGCAGAGGGTTCATAGAGGGCTGAAGATGTCTGCAGGAGAGCGCTCAAACACTCCATGTTCTTACCGTGGAACAGCCCCAAACCCCCACGGCCTCAGAGTGTGAGAGCCCGTGCGTGTGGAGGTTGTTATTGGGTTAGGTAAAGTTAGAAAGATATTGATTGTTGGTTAGGTTAGGTAAAGTGGTCGTCTTTTCCTAACTCCTCATGAATTCTCCTTCACACCTTTCCTCGACCCCATGATGTTTTCCATCTAGGTCAATGGGGAGTGGTTATTAACAGATGTTAGGAGGTCATAGTTTGACTTTTGGGCCACAGACTGTATATGCAACCCACACGCGACCTTTGACCCATTAGCGTTACAGTCTTTATAACACTCTCCAATCATTTTTGGTCAAATGATCGTCACTCCTCTCCATCAACAAAATATTGCTATTACTACATGCTTATGTTGACATGTATTACATGCAGTTAGCTTAATACCTGCATGTATTTAAAGGCTACTACCTGTACTATAATGTTAATTTGAGTTAAAACTCACCCTGTGCATCTCCACCGCTGGTCAGCACTGCCATGGCTCGACCAGCACCCGTCATCTTCAGCTTCTCCAAGTCCATCGTGGCCATTTTGACCCCCCAGTTTACGACAACAAACCCGGGTGAAAACTTAAAAAATGGCCGTCAACAAGTTAAATTAAGTGGTTCTTTAGGTAAATAAGGGTTAATACAGAGGTCGCTTCCTTGTCAGCAGTAGGTAACATTCGAGTAAACGTCAACGTAACAGCCGTTACCAGGGATTTGGCCCCGCCCCTTTCAGAGCAGAGGTCGCGGGGAGGAGTACAAGTGAGCGCTTATTTTATGACCCCGCACCGTCCGGCAATCCAATGTTGCAGCTTCAGCGAGTCTTAAGACATTAACCCCGCCTCCTCGAGTTCAACAACAGCACGTACAGCACGTACAACACGACGAACAACCTTTTCAACAGGTTTTATTATTACAACGCTAAAAATCAGACCAGAAAATGTATAATATCTACTGAAAAATACCAAATCAATAGTCATACAAAATTTGAAAACTTACATCTTACATTGACTTTAAAATAAAACCTTCTTCATAGTATTGTTTCTTGGAATTTAGGTATTCTTCAGGTTTAGCATCTTTGTGCCTGGTGTTAAAATAAAAATAATTTTACTAAATTCCTGACAGCTCAGAGAGGACTTTGTTACAAAATGTTATGTTGGGAGACAGTAAATATAAGTGAACACTCAAATGACTAAATATCATGTAGAAAATAAAGTTCTGCTACCTCAGTACTTCTAAAATCCTGACTATGGTTGGGTTTCATATTATTGTTGTATAAAACCCTAGCACTATGGGTCCTGTGGCTTCTAAAATACACGTGAAACAGGCATGAACTTCTAAAACTCAATGAGTCTATAAATGACTATAACTTAGAAGAGAAGAGGCGGACCACAGTGTGTTGGGTACAGTACATCAGCATTTATTCCATGCAGTTGTTTGCTCTGATTTTATTCTCCCAGATACCCATTGCACTGTACACTGGATAATACAGGAAACTGACAGGATTGGTTGATCGTAATGCCATTCAACAGGACACAGGGAGTTGGAAATGAGAGTAACAAAGAAACAGATGTTTGATACAATGGATGAGGCAACATGATGTCTACAGTTGCAGACAATTTCACCGAATTTCAGATGTCAGTATCTGGTATTTTGATTAAAAATGAGAGGAAGGGATCTCTGCAGAAGTACAGAAATCAGCATCATGCCTTCAGCCTTAACGTCTCCGCTGCGTCAGAGCACTGGCTGGCTTTCGGCTGTGCTAGTGATTCCTTATAGTGCCTGACATTGCTAATCAAAGTCTGCCAAATCAATACTTCACACAGGGTCACACAGACAAAAAAATGATGCCAATGATATGCAATGCTTTTGTTCTCCCATACAAATACTGTCCTCACCCCCCCCCCTACCGAGTCATTGTGCTTCCTTTAAATAATACTATCCAGGAGAAATCATAGATCATGACATTTCTAAAGCTGCCTGAAACCTTACCAGTCATTCATAATAAATTAATTCAATAATCACGTAGGCCAGCTACAAAGAAAAAAACAAGACTTAAATAAAAACTTTACAACAATCAAAACTTCACAGGATATATGCCAGAAAGACAATGTTATTAACAGCTTGATCGAAAGACCCAGTTATTACGATACACCAGGTTATTTCACACATACGTAAACAGAGTGAAGGAGGTTGAAGGAGGCTCGGGGAAAGGCAGCAGCTGCTTTCAGTATCAGGTGTAAGCCTTTTCAAGCGAAGAGCAATTGATCCATCGGTACAGTTTTAGATTCACCTTGTGCTGTTCAGTCCTCTAGACTCACGCCCTCCTGCAGTGTTCAATACTGACGTAATACATATGAAAGAATGTCCTGCTCATTTTCAACCAATCGGGGGGCTCATCATCAGTGACGGAAGGCTCCGTCAGAGCTGTGCGAAACGTCATAGGGAGGAGAACAGATTACAGTACATTTACAGATGTTATATACAGGAGTAAGTTACTCTGAGATGAGGTTGTTGAAAACCAAGAGCATGCTCTATTGCTCTGTGGCCTTGTCTCTGGCTTTTATTCCTAACTTCAGAATCTCAGCCGAGCTGACATCTTGACATCGTTATCGTTCAATTCAACCTTGGTTGGCTATTTTTTTTTTTTTTTTTTCAACCGCAGAATCGGGTGGATGACAAACACTCAAATAGGGCTCAAAATGAAGCTCTCACAGGTGCAGAATCCCCTTTCAAAGATAACAAGACAAAGTAGTTATGTTGCTGGGATTCTAAGGGTTTGGAGCCGGGGACATTTATACGACACAAGCAAAGTCATTGTAACATTCCCCATCTAGTGGCTGTTGATATATTGCTCCTGCTCTCAATCAGCAACATAAAACCTGAGCATCAAAGCCCCCAAAAAAAGGCGAATTCATGACATTTTAAAAACTAGCGTCTATAATAAGCTGCTGCTCTCCTATAGCCACCAGCCACCGTTCAGTGTCTAGCCAGCTAGACGCCTCAGATCCTGAGCAAGGAAACTTCTCACCTGAGCGCCAACCTACATTATTGCGGTTTTTATTCACTACAGCACAAAAAAAACTATTGTTATTTTTGGACATTGCGTATCAGCCAGTAGAAACCACCCTGCTAGAAAATGGTAAATGGGAAACACTGCACCTTCGTGATTTTAAGAAATGGGCTACTGCACCTGGATTTCAACTAAAACGCTCTAAGTCTCTACATAACATTAATGTCTTCTTACAGCAATAAGGGTTGAACATCTGTAAGACTTTTTTTTTAAATTATCCTGTATGGTCCATATTATGTGCCACTCAAAGAAGATTCCTACGTACAATAATTGGTCCAGTCCAGTTTCTCACAGTCCTCGAACAATCCTGAGATGAGACTTGAAACTGTAATGTCTAATGGAGAGGAACGGGTTTTGTGTTCTCACACACACACGCACTTTCTAGAAAGGAAGGGAGTCCGGGTTGCGAGGCAAGTCGTTCATGCTGGTGTTCACGCTGTTTTAAAATAAGCTCCCTGTTCCCCACAGTGGGGATGGGAGGTGGTGGAGGGTTAGGGGAACAGGGATCTGCACTGTAAACTCATGATGTCCTTGTGGGTTGCGGATTTCGGTCTAAAACAATAAGATGCTGAGAGCAATGATCAAAAGGCTTGTAGTGACACTACTTGTCTGCGTCACCTGAGAGACCAAATATCTAACACGTCAACACATCCTCCTCATCATCATCATCATCATCATCCTCACAACACACACTTAGCCCATGCTTGGTTTAAAAAGTTTTTTCTCTCTCTGAATGATCAGAGAATTTCCTGATTTTCCTTCGAAACTCAGACAAAAATAAATTATGAATGTTACACAATCTACTGTACATTATCATTCAAAAGGGGGAATCCCTGCCATGGGTTTGCCTGGATGCTGTGCAACAGGAGGAGGGGAAATGAGGGATTATGAAGGGTGGTTTTGGGGGAGGTTCTGGGAGAGATTGCATGGGGGGGATTTGCTATAAGGAGCTTTGTTTACAATGTCGTCCTCTTATTGCTGTAATTTCTGCAAGGCTGAGCGGGACACGATGGCCTCCAGGCAAAAACAGAGCCGAGCCCTGGGGGGGGGGGGGG